TAAGAAGATGGAGGAAATTAAGTTCTGGACAGACGATCCAAGGCAATGGTGGGTCTCCCTATTTCCGTCTTGGGCAGCAACCTCGTCTGATGATCTGATATGCTGTCCCCCAGCAGCGACAGCAAGTTGTACTGTTGTAGTTCGCTTTTGCATCTTAGCCCCAAAGGACTCAAACTGCAAGATTTAGTCTGTTTTCTGTTTAATTAAAAAAAAAAAAATGGGTCCAGGCAGCTGGCATGGGCATAGGTGGCAGGGAAAGCCGGACATGTGGATGTGTGCCTGAATTTGGAGGCGGAGTGGGAGTTTGCTAACAGGAACGTGATCTGGGGTAGGAAACAAGGTCACCGAGCCTGGAAGTAAACCCCATGTGGCACACGGCTAATCTGCTTCATAGCAGCCAAGGAACGCGTCCTGTGCCTCATGCATTTTAACTCTATGATCAGGATGGAGGTCTACACACGTGAGCCGGTTAGCAGGGTGATTGTTGGGGTCGGTTGTGGTGAAGCGTAAACAACATTGCACTTGACATTGTGCTGAGTGGGCTCGACTTTTAGCTTTGCCACTTCCTACTCGTGCAACTCCTCACAGCTCTTCTGTTGTCGTGAGTTCCGCACGTTGGACACCTCGCACGGCCTCAGGACGTTTAGAGGAGACGCTGTAGGTGACAACCTGTGGACAGCCTCCAGGGCGGTGTCCTCTTTGGGGGATGAATGCGGTGGCCGCGCTTCCATTCTGCGAACCGAGGTCGCAGTGTCGAAAAGCTCTTCTTTTCCAGAAAGAGAAGTGTTTACGTTTAAGCCACCGAGTGACGAAATCACTTCCATGCGGTTTCTGTCTGTGTCCAGAGCCTGGTGCCGCCAGAGGACATGTGGTAACTCCTTGTGCAGAGCACAAGTGGTTCGGATAGAAATCACTCCGATCATCACGAATGACCCCCTGTGCCGAGCCAGCGGTCTTTGCTGTTGGCGGAGGTAAAGGTGCGCGTGGGGCGTCTGGACTCAGTCTCGGGTGTTCAGTTTCTCTCCCCTCCCGTAAGCTGCATAACCACCCGAGGAAGTAGGGGTTGGCATCCTCATCTTAAAGTTAAGGACAAGGAGGTTCAGAGATGCCACCAAATGGGCCTTTCTGTGGATCCTTCCAAGCATCTCTCCCCTTTGCTCCCAGGGAGGAAAAACTCAAAACGAGGCAACCGTTCTCCCTCTTGGCTGACCCTCAGGATGTGCATCAAACATAGACAGGTGCACCCCGCTCCGGCTGCTGCGCCCGAGTCTCTCGGGCGGTTCCCAGGCGTGTGCCATTTTAGAGAGCATCCCGGGCGACTCGGAAAAGGAGTTCAGGACCTCTGCGGTGGGGAGCCTGGGTGGCTCGGTCGGTTGAGTGTCCGACTCTCGACTTGGGCTCAGGTCATGCTCTCAGGGAGCGGGAGCCCAGGGTCAAGCTCTGTGCCGACAGCGAGCTGGCTTGGGATTCACTCTTTCTGCCCCCTCCCCCACTTTCTCTCTCTCTCAAAAAAAAAAATAAACTTAAAAAAGAAAAGAAAAAATCTTTGCTGCAAAGAGGATTGAGAACATTTGACAGGAGAGGGGACCATCACACCTCCAGGGCTGAAAAGAATGAACAGTCACGTCCTACTGGGGAGCTCAGCAAAGCCCAGGAGGTAAATTCTGAACATGGGCTGGATTTTGGGATGGAGGCTGGGGTGGATGGGTTGCAATGGGTTAGGGCAGAGAGAGGAGGAAGGTTGGGTTGTCCCAGGGGGTTAACACGGTTCCTGGTGAATGTGTGTCCAGCTTATTAAGACAAGCAAGTTGCAGTGGTGGTTGGAACCCAGCGGTGGAGGGACAGGACTGAGCATCAACAGGCCGCTGAGAAGCGGCCGCCGTCGGTTCCTGAGCGAGTCAGTGCAGGTAACCTTGGCCACAGCCTCCAGGACAGACCCGGGGGGGATGGAGTTTGGGTGAGGGGCATGGTGACCTGGGTCCTCCTCCAGGACGAGGAGACACAGCTCTGGGGGGCAGGCTGGATGGGGAGGAAGGACGTGGAGGAGGCCGGAGGTACCATCGCGTCACACACGTGCCCTGGGGCGTCCACACCGCTAACATCCAGGGCCCCGATGAGTGAGGGGGTGGTCCCGCGGGTGGCAGGTGGGGCAAAGGAGCAGCTGTGGTGGCCATGCGCGTGCAGAATGGCTGCAGGCGGCAGCGGGAGCCCCCCACCCCCACCCCCACCTCCACCCCCACCCCTGCCCAGTCTGCCAGCCTGTGCTTCCTCCCAGGCAGAGCACAGGGAGGGTGAGACCGCACGGATGGTCAGTACCTGTCCCCACCGGGGCACGATGCCACTTCTCTAGGGGGCTCTGCTGGAGGCAGGAAGCCGCGGAGTGGATCTCCCCAAAGTCTCTCTCCTCCCGTCAGCCGGCCTGGCCTGTGGCTGCGGTTTCTGATGTCCTTTTTCCGGAGCGGAGTCTTTCCTGAAGCTTCTCCCATCCAGCGTCCAGCCTCCCGCCCAGCTATCCCGCGAGATGACGTCACCTGTGACGTCCGTCACCCCAGGCCCCTGGGAACCGCCCCGCGGTGTCCGCGGACGTGCCCGCGTTTCTGCAGTAGCTCGCACCCTGCCACACGGCCTGTCCCTGTCTGCCAGCAGCGGGTGTCCCCTGGGGTGGAAAACTAACCACCCCCCCCCCCGCATCCCGAGCTCCTGTCCTCGCATTCAGCCTTCCTCGGGGGCTGGGGCCTGCTCTGAGCGCCCCCTGCTCCGTGCGCCCTCCCACCGCGCCCCTGCTCCGTGCGCCCCCTTCCGTACACCCTCACACCATCACACGGTGCCCCTGCTCCTCACCTCCTGCCCCCCACCCCCCTAGCCCATCCCCGCCTGGGTCGAGGGGAGCCCCTCTGGACTAGCTCTGCCTCCCACCTGCAAAGTCCCCACTAGACTCTGTTCTCGTCTGGGTCAATGAATCTCAACTAATTTTTTCGGCCTAAAATACCAGAAAAACACGGCCTACCCCCTGACGACTGGTGTGTCCCGGGCAGTGCCCCAGCCTCCTCTGGCTGCTTTAACAAGTTACTCACGAGCTCGGTGCCCTTGAAACAAGACGATGGATCATCTCACCGTTCTGTGGTCACAGATCTGCTGGGGGTCTCTCCGGGCTACAACCCAACTGTGAGCAGGGCTCCGGTCCCTTCTGGAGGCTCCAGAGGAGCTGTTCCCAGCTTCCAGGGCGGCCTGCACACCTTGGCCGTGGCCCCTTGCTGCGGCTGCAAAGCCAGCCAGGCTGCTTCTCCCCACCCCTTCTCCCTGCCTCACCTCCTGCCCTGACCAGCAAGGGTTTCTCCACTTTAAGGATTTGCGCGATTGGATTGAGGCCACCTGGATGACCCAGGCCGTTCCCCCACGTCAAGGTCCTCAACCTTATTCACACCTGTAAAGTCTGCTCAGCCACGTAAGCAAACGTGTTCACAGATTTCAGGGATTAGGCATCCTGGAATTGGGGCGTTTGGGGGCCCTTGTCCGCCTCCCGCAGGCCATCATTTTCACAGGGAACATTTTCAGCGGGAGGTGGTTAGTAACTGTGGAGTGATTGCGCCTGAGGATCTGTGGGTTGGCATGGGGTTTGAGAAGATTATGTCCTAAAATCCCAGGACCACCTGCATCCACCCTGGCCCTCAGTTTGACTTTGGAAAGGAAGACTGTGTCACGTAAATGTCTACTGGACAGACGTTATAGGCCAGGTGTTGTCCTCAGAGCCTTTGCAAAGTCACTTTCATGTAAACAAGGTTAAGCGAGTGATTCAAGGTCACCCAGCTAACAGGTAAATGGAGTTGGGGGCCCAGGTTTGGTTTTATAACCCCACCTCCGAAGCTATTTCTGTTGGAGCTCAGCGAAGTCACGGACCAGAGTTGACCTGTCATCTCAGGATTGTTTAGATGTTGTACTGAGGTCACCATGGGGACATTCTGGCTCTTTCTTCTCCCCAGTTCTGCGAGTGTGATTGCCTAGGGCAAGGGGGTGGAGCCCGAACTGAAGAGCCTGGTGTCCTCACAGGCGGCCAGTCTCTCTTTTGTAGGTGGGGCCAAGGTCTGGAGGCCTGAGTTTGACCTTTCACCACCCCCCACCTCCATTCACCTGACCTTGGACAGGTTCCTCAGTCTCTGTGCCTCGGTTTCACATCCCTGAGGAGCCACTTATTGCCGCGGGGTCCCATCCTGAAGCCTGGGTCTCCTCAGTGGTGCCCCCGTGGCTGGAAGCCTGTAAAGACTCCAGGCAGGTGCAGGTGTCACGGGAGGCGCTCAGCCCACCGCCCGGCACCCAGAGCGAGAGTGACCGTTTTCCGTCAGTCGTGTAAGAGACGATCTCCCGGGACAGCCGTGCGTCCTAGAGGCAGCGGATGGAAAGCAGGTCATAAACTGAAGTTCACAGGACTCACAAAAAATCGTTGAAAATATTCTAGTAATACAGGACTACACACGTTTCTGTGAAAAGCAATTTCAAACACTCCTAAGCACGACAGGTCAATGTGACCCTCCTAAGCCTCCGCCAGAGGTGACGGCTGTCAACGTGCGTTCTCTCCACGCAGGGAGTTTTCTGTGTGTTCGTGGCACATACGGGAGCTTGCCATGAGTTACAGGAGAAGCTTCCAGGACTCCGGTGTATCCAGTGTAAAATGCCAGACACCCCGGAGCTGGGCTCGTGGAAGCCATGGAAACCTGGATGCCGGACACATGTCCCCCCTGGTGTGGCTGGAGCTGGTCACGCCCGTGTGAGGCCAGGAGAGGGCGCCCGGAGTCCACTCGGGCAGCCCCTGAATGGGAACGGAAGCACAGGCCGCCACCATCTCATTTGGGGAGGACGGGCCAGGCTCTGAACAAGGCAGGGTCGCTGGACGACTGGGCACTAGGGACTCAGCCAAAGCTCGTTCAAACGCAGTTTGCTGTGGGTGAGAACACAGGGCAGGGAATTCACGGAGCAGCCATGGAGTCCCGAAGCAGTTTTGTCCCTCAGGGACTGAAGAGCATCTTCTTGATGTCACGCTGTGGGTAGCAGTTGTACAAGGTCACTGAGAGGCCGCACGTGGTCACACAGTGGCCAGCACTCAGCGCCTGAACGTGCTTCACACAGGCTGTCCCCCCAGCTGCCGGGCCACGCAGCTTTCTCACCAAGAGCAGCTGCTCAGCGAAGTCAGTGGATGCTGGGTCACAGGTGGACCTCATCTGCAGGTCCCCAGAGGCCCAGTGAGTCACAATTTGCTTTGGAAATGGTAAAAGGAAAACATTTTGTCCGTCAAATAACAGTTGAAGGCTTAGTAACTACCTACCACCGATAGGAGAGGGCCCAGTAGAACCTGCGAGAAAAGAGATGTCTGTGAGGAGAACAGGACACCTACAAGTGCCTTCCGTCATGTGTGTCCCCTGCTGCCACCGTGGTCTGAACCGCCGTCATCTCGTGCCCGGACAACAGGCTTCCTGCTTGTATTCTTGGTGCCCTGCGGCGTGTGTTCCAGCAGCAGTGAGCGTGCGTTGCTTTGGTCAGCGTGCTCCTGGCTCCTGGCGTCCGGGTTCCAAGTCAAAGTCCTCACACCGGCCCACGGTGACCAGTCCGCTCGGCCCGTCTGCTGCCTCAGTTCCCACGCCTGGCTTCCTCACTCAGCCGGGGCCACGATGCCACGTGGCTCTCACGTGCACCGGGGTGCCTGTCCCGTCCTGGGGCGTCCTCCCTGGCTGGTGACCTGTGCCAAGCAAGCTCCCCCAGGCGATCAGTGCCCTGTTCCTGTGCTCCGAGTCTCCCCTCAAGGGACACCTGGTCTGTGAGTGCTGACCCTATTGCTTGCGACGCTACGGGGATCGGAGGACCCCCGTGCCCACACTCTTCCTTCGCTCGTCCTGCGTGCTCCCCCGTAACGTGTATCATCCTCCTACAGGCTTTCTTTTTAAATTTTTTTTTTTCAACGTTTATTTGTTTTTGGGACAGAGAGAGACAGAGCATGAACGGGGGAGGGGCAGAGAGAGAGAGGGAGACACAGAATCGGAAACAGGCTCCAGGCTCTGAGCCATCAGCCCAGAGCCCGATGCGGGGCTCGAACTCCCGGACTGCGAGATCGTGACCTGGCTGAAGTCGGACGCTTAACCGACTGCGCCACCCAGGCGCCCCCAGGCTTTCTTTTTAAATTACGTTGACTCTGTGTCTGTCTTCCCTGAGCAGAAGTGTGAACCCCACGAAGACAGCTCTCACTATGTTGCCGATGCCGCCGAAGCGCATAACGCCGCATCCACATAGTAGGTGGTCAGTTAGGACTTTTTTCACTTAATACGATATAGAGGCTACTTGATATCATGACATTTGCTAGGAGGAAAATCCAGGCGATAGAAACCTGGGTACAATGTGTTTTCATATTCATAAAGAGAAACGTAAGCATCAAAATAGTACAAGTTTATGAGCCAAAATATTCACGGTGCTTAACATTGGGTGGTAACATTGTAAATGATTTATTTTTGGAATGTTTAGGGTTTTTAAAGTTTTCTTTCAATGTTTCTTTCTCCTCTTCCCCTCTCTTTTCCATCTTTTCCATTTTCTTGTTTTCTGGTTTTTTTTCTCCTCCTCAGGCCGTACTATCCTCACTAGTCTATATGTTACTCCTTTTATTATTTTTATCAGTTTTCTACTTTACCCACACCACCCCTACCCCCCCCCCCCCCACTCCCATGGACTATTACTCAGATATAAAGAAGAATGAAGTTAGGGCATCTGGGTGGCTCAGACAGTTGAGCACCCGACCCTGGATCTCACCTCAGGTCTTCATCTTAGGGTTGTGGGTTCCAGCCCCGGGACGGGCCCCATGTCGGGCTCTGCTGGGAGTAAAGCCTACCTAAAAAAAAAAAAAAAAAAGGAAAAAAAAGAAGAATGAAATGTCATTTGCAGTAATGTGGATGGAGCTACAGAGGATTATTCTAAGTGAAGCCAGTCAGTCGGAGAAAGACAGATACCACGTGATTTCACTCGTACGCAGAATTTAAGAAACAAAACAGGCAAGCAAATGGAAGGAAATAAAAGAAACAGAGAGCCAGCTGAGACCCAGACTCTTAACTATAGAGAACAGACTTATGGTCACCATAGGGGACGTGGGGCGGGGATGGGGAACAGGTAATGGGGATTAAGGGGGGCGTTTGCTGTGACGGGCACCGGGTGACGTGCAGAGTGTTGAGTCGCGTTCTGTGCACCCGAAACCAGTATTACACTGTGTTAACTAACTGGAATTTAAATACAAACTTAAAAAAGGATTTGCCACCGAACAAAAACCAAATACCTAATGTATTTAATATATATCCTCCCAGTTTCCTTTGAAAGGTTCATGTACATTTGCACGTATCTCTTGAAAAGCACATGGCCCCGTTTTGTGTGTAAACTCTCTATTTTTATAAATGGCACTGGCCTTGGCTCTTCATTCTCACACTTGGCCTTCGAGTCAGTCCCTGCTGGTCTGGTGCCGTTTGGTGTGCGGCCCCCCACCACTGCGTGGTATTCTGATATTTCGATCACGTGCGGGGATGGGTCCCATCCCCCTGGTCAGCTCCCAGCAAAGGCCCCCAGGCCGCGGCTAGCTCCCTGTTGTCACCGACCCTGCTCTAACGGTCACCCTCCGACAATTCTCCTGCAGACCGTGATCAGAATGAACACCCAGCAGTGGAATCACTGGGGTTCGGGCAGAGCTGTGCCACCAGCTAGAATGAACGTCTTTCCCCCCCCCCCCCCCATGTTTGTACGAGCCCTTAGGATTACCAGAACTTCCAATTTCTGCCATTTCGATGGGTAGAAATCTACAACCTGTCTACGTTTCCTATTTTTCTGATTGCACAGTTGGATATGCCTTTACCTGCTCTTGGCTACCCGGGTATACGGTTGAAATTTTGATGTGGTCAAACCTGTCAGCCCCACCCCATAGAGCTTCAGCGTTTTTGGTGTTGTTTGAGACCTTCTTCCCCACGTTAAGGTGGCAAAAATTGCCTATCCTTTTTACAATTATTTTTAGAGTTTTGTCTTTCACGTTGAGATTTTAAATCCATTCGAACTTTAATTTTGTACGTGGTTTATATCAGAGAGGATAGGCTAACTTATTCTAGGAGATTAGAAGCCCTGAATTCTTTAAGGTCTCTCGAAGCAACAGAAGTTCATCTCTGGCCTACGCCATATGTCCGCCATTGGTGGACACTGCCAATTCACTGTCCAGAACGAGTGATCTGACCCCAAAACACTGCAAATGGGCTGGAACGGGTAACCCTTCCCTGTGTCCAGCAGGAGAGGACCCGAAAACACGTGGTGAAATGTATAAATCATGAACACCTGAGGAGAGATCTAACGCATCTGGGTTTTTTCCTGGATTCCATGCAGTCTTCTCCAAGGCATCGTATAATAATCCGTTGTTTTCCTTCGAGTTGGTGACGCTACCTCTGTCACACCAAGGACGCGTTTCTGGACTCATATTTGGTTCTGTTAGCTTCCTTCTGTCTCTGTTTCTGTATCCATTCAGCGCCTGGCGACGTAGTGGTTTTGTAACATGTCTGGCGGGGGGGACTCTCTCTGTCTTTGCTTTTATTCCTTTGTAAACACTTCAAAATCAGTTTTTCAAGTTTCCTAAAGAATCCCATTGGGATTTAATTGAAGTTTCATTACACTTACAAATTAAGTTGGGGAAAATTGGTCATCTTTGGAGTTGTAGGTCATCAGCTTTTCTTTTTTTTTCTTTTCTTTCTCTCTCTCTCTCTCTTTTTTTTTTTTTTAGCTTTTCTTGTTTTATCTTTAATAGGGTCTGAAAAATTTTATTTATTGGGGTCTTACTCTGTTTTTGCTAGATTACTTCCTAGATAGATTTATAGATTTTCCTGTAGCTATCAGTATTTTATTTTCTATATGTTATCTACTTGTTTATTGTGAATGTGTAGGAGCATAAGTGATTTTGATGTGTTGATGTTATATTTGGGAACACTGAAAGGTCTGTCCTGTCTGAGGACTTTTGATTCTTTTGGGCTTTTCTATGGAAGTGATCAAATGACCTGCTAATAATGGTAATTTGGACTCTTCCCTTTTGATCCTTATAACTCATGTTATTTTTTTTCTCATTTTTTTTCTTGTCCAAATTGTCAGCCAGGTATCCAAGACTATGTGGAATAAGCATCAGTGATGTAGGCTGTTTTGTCTTATTTGCATTTATTTAATAGGACAATGAGTGAAGTGTGTCCGTATTTGCTGTGTGTCATAGTAGAATGTACACTGTTTTCTCTGAAAGAGTTCATGTAATATTGGAGCCATCTGTTCCTTGAAATGAGTTTTTGCACAAAAAAATCCATAGAACTATCTGGGCCAGTGTTTGGGGGAAGATTTGTAAATCACTATTTCTAATTGTTTTAGTAGTTATCTAATGATTAAGACTTCTTTTTTCTGTTAGTTTCTTTTTGGTTTAAATATTTTTGAGATACTGACATACAGTGAAGGATACAAGTCTTATGTGCATAATTCGGTGAATTTTACAAATGTACCTGCCCATGTAATCCACCCCCCCCCCCCCACGAAGAACTAGAACATTTCCATCGCCCTAGAAAGATCTCTATGGCTTTCTCACCCGATCTGAATCCTTCCCCAGACTCACCACTGTTCTTATTTCTTTCCCTACAGATTACTTTTCCTAATCAATAAGGTCATCCAAATGGAACCAAGCATATGTAGTCTTTGCCTGGAATAATAGTTTTTAGCTTCATCTGTGTGGTGGTGTATACTCGTAGATCATTTATACTCCATTTTCTATGGTATTGTACCGCGTGAATATAGTCTTTCCAGATTTGGGCTACATGCATAAGCTTCTACGAGCCTTCCCAAGCAAGCTTCTTGTAGGTTTGTGTTTTCATTTATCCCAGGAAAATATATTGAAGAGGTCATAAGGTAGGTAAATATTTAACTTTGTGAGTGACTTCCATATCATAGGAAAGGTATAGATATTCTAGCTCCTCATTGAGTGTATTCAGTCATTCATATTAATAAGTTTAGTGGTTTTGTAGTAATGTCTTATAAGAATTTTATTTTCTTGGTAACTAATGATGTTAAATACTTTTTTTATGTGTTTATTGGCCATTTATATGTCTTCCTTTATGAAGAGTTTGATTTGATTAAGACTTCTGTGTCTTTTTCAAAAACAAACTCAAAATGGATGAAAGAACTAAAGGTAAGACGGGAAGCCATTAAAATCCTAAAGGAGAAAGCAGACAAAAACCTCTTTGACCTTGGCCGCAGCAACTTCTTACACGACATGTCTCTGGAGGCAAGGGAAACAAAAGCAAAAATGAACTACTGGGACCTCATCAAGATAAAAAGCTTCTGCATGGTGAAGGAAGCACTCAGCAAAACTAAAAGGCAACCGACGGAATGAAAGAAGGTATTTGTAAATGACATATCAGATAAAGGGTTAGTATCCAAAATCTGTAAAGAACTTATCAAACTCAACACCCAAAAACAAATAATCCAATGAAGAAATGGGCAAAAGACATGAATAGACACTTTTCCAAAGAAGACATCCAGACAGCAAACAGACACATGAAAAGATGCTCAACATCACTCATCATCAGGGAAGTACGAGTCGAAACCACCTCGCACCTGTCAGAGTGGCTAACATTAACAACTCAGGCAACAACAGATGTTGGTGAGGATGCAGAGAAAGGATCTTTTTTGCACTGCTGGTGGGAATGCAAACCGGTGCAACCACTCTGGAAAACAGTATGGAAGTTCCTCAAAAAACTAAAGATAGAACTACCCTATGACCCAGCAATTGCACCACTAGGTATTTATCCAAAGGATAAACGTGTGCTGTTTTGAAGGGGCACATGTACCCCAATGTTTATAGTATCACTATTGACAATAGCTAAAGTATGGAAAGAGCCCAAATGTCCATCAACTGATGAATGGATAAAGAAGATGTGGTCTATATATACAATGGAGTATTACTCGGCAATCAAAAAGAATGAAATCTTGCCATTTGCAACAACGTGGATGGAACTAGAGGGGATTATGCTAAGCGAAATTAGAGAAAGACAAATATCATAGGACTTCATTCATATGAGGAATTTAAGATACAAAACAGATGAACATAAGGGAAGGGAGCAAAAATAATATAAAAACAAGGAGGGGGACAAAACATAAGAGACTCTTAAATACAGAGAACAAACTGAGGGTTGCTGGAGGGGTTGTGGGTGGGCGATGGGCTAAATGGGTAAAGGGCATTAAGGAGGACACTTGTCGGGATGAGCACTCAGTGTCATATGTAAGTGATGAATCACTGGATTCGATTCCTGAAATCATTATTGCACTATAGGCAATAATGATGTAAATTAAAAAAAAAAGACTTCTGTGTATTTTTACTTGGGTTGTCATTTTATTATTGCTTTGTAGGAACTTTTTATCTCTACTGGATCCAAGTCCTTGGTCAGATGTAGGTATTAGAAATACGCACTTCCCCCGTGATCTCGTATTTCCACGAAACTGTCAGTCTCCCTGGACTCTGTGGATGGTTTTAAGGCCTGGGTCCTGGTGTGTTCTCTGCAAGCTGGACCAAGATAGAATGGAAGCAGCTTGGGGCAGATGTTTGGTAAGACAGTCTGCACTCCACTGTTCTCATTTTTCTCATCCTCATCAGTGGGTCCCACCCCACCAGGAACCGCTCAGAAATTCTGTGTCCGGCTCCGAGCATTTCTGGGAGCCGCTGCCGTGTCCGGGCTGGGGGGACGGGGAGCCGGGTCCTTCAGGAGCTGGTCAAGCTGACCCCACACCTTGTTACTGGCGTCCCGGCTCCGCTGGCATCCCGCCTCAATTCTGTATTAATTTGTTAATTTTTTGTGTGTACCTCCTTGGCTCCCGAATTATAACAATGACAAACATCAAACAGAAACTAACAATGGCCCCTGTCCTCACGAGCCGGCTTTGTAGAGGGCAGACAGGCAGTAAACAGCAGATGTAAGGAGAGACTGAATTACAGAATATGCTAGAAGGTGACCACTGTAGAGTGGTGTAGGACAGTCAGGACTCCGCGTCTCTGTGGAGGGGTGGTGCACACTGTACTACCGACAGAGGCAGCTAGCGATGGTCCCCCTGAGAAGGACATTTGAGCAGAGTTGCAGGAGACGTGAAGGACTCAGCCATGCAAGTATTTGGGGGAATCGTGGTGAAAAGGCACTGAGGTCCGAATACGTGTCACACGCTCCACAAATAGCAAAGAAGCCAGTGCAGCTGGAATGCAGCAACCAAGAGGGAGAACGCTAGACAACGAGGTGCAGAGAGAGCAGGCTTGGAGGGCCTTGTAGGGGCCTGAGCCTTCGCTGAGCGTGAAATAGGGTCACTGCCCTGACCTCACCCCTCTTCTTTCGCTCATCCTGCCCCGTCCAGGCCTGCCGTGCCGATGCGGGGTCCACAGCAACACGCGAGAGAAGGGGCAGCAGTAGAACCCACTTCCACAATCCCGCCCCCGCATGGAGGCAGCTGTCCCTCACCCATCGGGGTGCTGTTTCCTCTTCCCATGCCACTCAGGCTTTCTCCCCGCTTGCGTCTATTCTAGGATTCACCGGCCTCCCCTTACTTCTGCGCCTTTGATTCACAGGAAGGAGCCCGCAGAATTACTGAGCATGCATTTATTATCTTGGTAAACAGAAAAAGAAAATACTCAACCACAAACATTATACAAATAGTTCACTATAAAATCGAGGCACCTTGAGCACAGAGCAGCATCAGGAAACCTAAGAGAAATCAGTTGTGTGAGCAGAAGCGAGGATTTGCACGGCCTGGATTGTTTTTCAGCAGCAATCACTAGCCTCTGCAAAGTGTATCTGCATAATGTGACCCACCCAGAGTGCTCTGCACGGAACACCCCCTGGAGGACAAGAGCCCTCAGGCTACTGTTCGGGGACCAGCTCCTAACCTGATGAAGATAGCTAGGATGATAGCGGAGAAGTCTAAGCAGCCCACTCATGTTTCTGCAGTAAATTTGAGGCTATGTGCTGGCTTCAGGCTCTGGACTTTGTCACTGAGAAATTGGAGAGAAGTCACCTCAATAGGGCTGAGGGAATATACATAAACCTACCGAATCCAGGGCTCCCTCCGGGACCCCCAGCCAAAGCTCAGTAAATCCCTTCTTCCACTGTGATTATTTATTAAAAAGCTGCTCATTTTTATTCTTTCTTTTCTTTATATATATATAATTCTAAGTAAGTTCTATGCCCAATGTGGGGCTTGAACTCACAACCCCAAGATCGAGAGTCACGTGCTCTACTGACTGAGCCAGCCAGGCACTCCCAATCCCTTCCATTATTTGACCTAAGGCTTAGTTTGTAATCAAAACCAGAGAGGTGGCTCAATAACCAGCCCCTTCCCCTCAGGTGATGCCTCCGCCATGACAAAGGAATGTGCTTGAAACTCTGTACATCTGTCCTCCCACAAACTTCATGGTGAGCTTGCCTAGCCTTACAGACACAACACGTGAGAAGGTGTTATCTTGAGAAGCATAATTACTTAAAATATCATAGAATATTGACAAAAAGCTTTTCTGTAGGTAAACCTAGGGATGAGCGACAGCCATGAGACCCTCAGCACTCAGGTCAAGCTAAGGTGTGGAAGTTCGTGAAGGAGTACAATCTCGTTAACCCAGACTATCTCCAGATCGAGGTTAAATCAGATTGTACTCATACGCCTGTGCCTCAGTATCGCCGAGAGACAAGAATAAAATACTGAAATGTCTGGGTCCTCAGGGAAACACCTCCCCTGGGCTCATCAGGGGTATTTTTTCTTTTCTCCTTTGTGATAGTCAATCATCATTTACTTCTGCAGTGGAACCAGCTGTTGGTTTTCAGGACAGTCAAAATTTGCTTGGTTTTAGGATCAAATTTGTACTGCCTTTTTCCACGAAAGAAATAGAAATCCTAGGAAGAAAATGAAAGGTAACGATCCTATGAGACAAATAGATGGTGATTTTACATATGAACTCTTGAAAAAAAAAATATCCATTTCCACACAGGCAATTTGCTTTCATATCTAAGGAACAGTACATTTGTCATTTCTATGTGCACAAAAGGGAGACATCTTTACCTCCATCTTGGAAGACAGCATCAACTTTTTTGCCAATTCCGGGAAAGTCTTGAGTTGTCTCTTTGGGAAAACCCGCATCCATGGACTGCGTGTTTTCATCATGCCCGGTAAAAAAAAAATATATTAGAAATTTCAGAATGTGTGATTAATAGCAATAAGTAATACTCAGCATTAACTCTTCACAATAAATCTGAGAGGTGGGGGCTGCCTTCATTTTCATTTTGTGGAAAACCACCGCTGTAAACAGTTGTGAGCGGGGGCATTGCCAGCATGGAGATAATAGGTTTCAACTGGCAAGGGTCCCAGTTCAATAGGGTTATGGGAGACTGGAACAGACTAGAGCAGCATCAACCCTAAAATCTGATTCAAACTTTATCTCCGACTCCATTGTCTGCCCTATCAAGGAGAACTACCGTGGGAAAGAAGGTTCCTTTCTGTTCCCGCTTTCTATCGTCCTTTTCAACTCCATCCTACAGGTCCCTTGCCTCGCAAGGACAGACATGGCGTGACGATAACAGAGAGGCTTCCGAGTGACTCTTGGTCTAGCTGCGTCCATTCACCAAGGGAGGATGGAGGTTCTGCAGGGTTTGAGAATGATTTTTAAAAAGGCAACTCCTCCCGCTGAGTGATCTGCCTGTCTTTACCTCCAATGCTCGCTGGCAGCAAAGAAGTACATCATCCCAGTCTCCTCCTCGTGAACGGCAGCATCGATTTTCTTTAGCCTTTGGGGGAAGCCGAGGGAGCTGTAGATGTCCCTGGGATAGCCATACGGTGCCCGGTGCCCCTTGATGGCCCAGTATTTACCACCTGTCAACAGAAAAACCGAGCATGAAAACACTGTGCCCAGGGCTCTGAGGACAGTAGTCAGGCTTTCCCGCAGACACTCATTCACGAGAGGTGGATACAGGGTTTTATTCCCCAGTGTGGTGTCCCCGAGCCAGGCATTTGTCCGGGGTGCAGGTGGCTGGCTTCCCCAGATGCACAGGGGTCCTGCGGCCATGGCGCCTCCCCGGGAGGCCCCTCTCAGCTCCTGGCAAAGGACTTGGTACGTGCTCGCTTAGCATCTCCAGCACATCAGCGCATCGCACGTCATGATGCCGCAGTATGAGCACAAACACGCGACCGCCTCACAAGAAGGCAGTGTGAGACCTCGTGTGTATATAAACCCTCCTGTTTTCTCCGCACACGTTAGATCTGTTTCAAGATTCTTGACTTATGGAAATGGCCCCCTTAATTTTCAACAAGCAACAAACACCTGATGAAACACGTAACTCATAAACCCATCAACCAAAAAAACCCCCGGAAGCGTTACCTTTAAAAAAGAAAACTTCATCTCTTCTAGCAACTTCATAAGCAGTGTCTACTCCGTTACCTAAGTCAGAAATGACGTCGGGATCCACTGTTTCGTAGAAGACACCTGTGCGTAGGAAGAACCTGATTCAGAAGAGAGGAAAAGATTGTAAGTGCAACAGCCTGGGTTGATGACCAGCTCTTCTCTCTGGACACGAGTCTGCCCCCCCCATGCTGGGCCCTCTGCCTGCGGGATGTCTCATCTCACAGAGATCCTACGTGCCAGCAGATGACACAGGCCGACCGACGAGGCTAAAGAAGGTGTGAGAGGCTCCGACCAAGCTTCTCCATCGTAGGGTTTTCCGGTTGGGAGTTTTGCCACGTTTGTGTCACGCCCTGGGGACCAGGGTGACAGCTCAGCACAGGCTCCTACGTGGGCTGACGGGAGTGTTCTCAAGACCATAGACACCGAATGGAAGCATACGGTGAGCCACTAGCCTTGGGAAGGACCAGAGGGCTCATGTCCCGGAAAGAACCTTCCTTGTTAGCCTCCTAGCAGGCCCAGCCGCTGCTCGCAGTCCCTGGACCCACCACCAAGCCCCCTGCAGTGTCGGCACTGGCCCCCATCAGTCCCTCTCAGCTCTTGACATCCCCTGGACCTTCCTTTTTGGGCCCTAGACTACATTGCCCTCAGCGTGGTGTAGACATCTGATTTGAGCGGTGCTGCTCGGAAGAACCTATTTGTTCCAACTCACTAACACGTTTATCATCCCAGACAGCAGAAATGAGCTCAGGAGTTTCACAGCTCAGGGGTTGGTGAAAGGAGTTGGAAGACGAGTTCCAGCTCCATTACTGACAAGCCTGTGATCTGTCTGTCTGCCTAACCCACAAGTTTGCCTGTGGGCCAGTGTGGAGTGGAAGCCTTATAATGCCTTTGACTTCATGAATTTTCTGGCGATTGAATGACTTACCTATGATAAAAATTTGTTTTTCTTCTTTCTATTTTTGTTTAAGTAATTTCTACACCCAGCGTGGGGCTTGAACTCACAACCCTGAGGTCGAGAGTCGTATGCTCTTCGGGCTGAGCCAGCTAGGTGCCCCTTACCTGTGATAAAAATTTTTGAAGAACAAACCACTTCATGCAAATGCACTACTATGAAAATGACCAATTAAAATATATTGCTAAAGAAACAGAGACCGTTCAACAAAAATGTCAGAACAACTTAAAAGCATATCAGTATTAATGGTGATTTTTTCTTTCTTTCTTCAATTCTTTCTTTCTTTCTTTCTTTCTTTCTTTCTTTCTCTCTTTTAGATTTTTTAATGCTTATTTATTTTTGAGAGAGAAAGAGAGAGAGAGAGTGAGCATGGGTGGAAGAGGGGCTGAGAGAGAGGGAGACACAGAATCTGAAGCAGGTTCCAGGCTCCGAGCTGTCAGCACAGAGCCCGACATGGGGCTCAAACCCATGAGCCGTGAGATCATGACCTGAGTTGAAGTCCGATGCTTAACTGACTGAGCCACCCAGGAGCCCCTCTTTTTTTCTTTCTTTTTTACATGTTTTTAAAGAAGAATGATTCTCCACGAATTTTGGCGACAGCATCAAATGTGAACTTGCTATCACAGGCTCGTGGGATTGGCGGTTCTTTCGGCTGGGTGGGATTTGTGGAAGGTCCTAAAAAATAAATAGAAGTTCTGAAGTAAGTTAAGTTGGCATATTATGTTAACACAAAAACATTTAGAATGAAGCCTCTATTTTTATTATTTTAGAGAGACAGAGGGCGAGCGAGCGAAAGAGCAAGCAGGGGAGGGGCGGAGAGAGAGAGAGAATCCCAAGCAGGCTCTACACTCTTCACGGAGCCCAACCCAGGGCTCGATCTCACCACCCTGAGATCATGACCTGAGCCACAATCAAGAGTCAGATGCTCAACTGACTGAGCCATCCAGTTGCCCCACAGAACGAAGACTCTTTCTTAAAGGACGCAGCTGAAAGCTGTTTATTTGAAACCCACATCTAGACCCCTAATTGTCCAGTATTTTTACTTTGTGCTCACCATAAGATGGCCTGGATGGCATCAATGTCCTTCGGAGACAGCAGGGCATCACCATAGTAGATGTATCTGGGGAACATCAAAGAGCCAATGTCATCACTATGGAGTAGTCCAAGGAAATGGCCCAACTCATGTGCAGTCACATAATACAAGTTGTAGTCTAAAAAGACCAACAGAACATGTTTGCAATTACTGGAATGCACTTTTGAGGAACCCAAGAGGGAAATGTAAACATCTAAACCTCAGAAGCTTTATTTTTTACTTTCTTTGTGCAGATTTGGTGTGTAGCTGGTGGTAGGTCTGTGTGGGGTATACGTGTGTGTGTACGTTTCGTCAAAGGAAGAAGAGTGTCTTCATAATTTTAGGTGGGCTGAGGAAAGTCTGAATTTCTGAGATTGGACTAGTATAATTCCCGGAAGAAACTCAACTGACAAAGAAAAATCCCACTGATAAATAACTATCATAAAATAAGGTAGAAAGTGTTATATTCTAGAGGAATAATAGGATTCTATTGACATTTATTATTGTTTTCTGCTCATAAATCTTATATTATCTCCTATGTCTACTTCTGAAAATTTAGATAACGTAGGAAAGCACCAAGAAAACTTCCCCCAAATCACTTTACCAAAAATAACCATTTGGGTATGTGATAATATATGTGACGGTGTGATTTAAAACATCCTAGCAACATTTTTAGAGTAACGTACTTTTATGGGTAAAATGGTATTCCTTGCAGAAATAATATTCCCTTATTTTAAATAAATGAGACCAGGGGTGCCTGGGTGGCTCAGTTGGTTAAGCGTCCAACTTTGGCTCAGGTCATGATCTCACCGTTCCTGCGTTCGAGCCCTGCGTTGGCTCTGTGCTCACAGCTCAGGGCCTAGAGCCTGCTTCAGATCCTGTGTCTCCTTCTCTCTCTGCCCCATCCCCACTCATGCTCTGTCTTTCTCTGTCTTAAAAGTAAATAAAACATTTAAAAAAAAATAAATGAGATCAAAGAGTTCCCATTGGCTTTCTAAGCAATTATAGTTTTAATAAAAGCTTATGTTTACTAAAGTATTTAAGGCTGATCACAGAGCTGGCCCACTTGACTAAAGGCATTCTTGTAGAGAAAACACTGACCCACAAAAGGGGGAAATAGGAAGAATTTGTGGACTCACTTCTGAAGTCATCGGTCCATGTTTTTTCCTCATCAAAATGAACACCTCCTCCCATGCCCCTTCCTGGTGGGAACACATGAGCAAGCAGGCTTCTGATTCTGCCAAAGTCGGACTTATCGCCATGATCTGTGAAGAGCAGGACAGCAGGGGCATATCCCCGTTATGTCTGGCTTCCCCGGGAAAGGCGAGGGCGCTGACAAAGAGCCCAAAGCTATTCTTAAAAAAAAAAAAATAATAATAACGGTTATTTATTTTTGAGACAAAGAGAGAAACAGAGTATGAGTGGGGATGGGGCAGAGAGAGAGGGAGACACAGAACCCAAAACAGGCTCCAGGCTCCGAGCTGTCAGCACAGAGCCCGACGCGGGGCTTGAACTCACGGACTGTGAGATCATGACCTGAGCCGAGGTTGGACGCTCAACCGACTGAGCCGCCCAGGCGCCCCCCAAAGCTATTCTTGATCTTTGAAGCTTCCTTTCTTTGGCCCATGAAATCAACACCCCTCCACCCCCCGTGGAGAAGGCCTGCGAGCATCAGGAGGTAAAATCCAGAATGGATTTGGGAGATAAGAAGGGCTTACCTCCCCAAAGGATAACATTATGTCCGCTTGACCCTCAGAGACCTTGGTGAAGGTCAGGGGTGAGACATCACTCCAGAGTTGAAAGGCTTTCTCAATGGCACGGTCCACCTCTGCTCTCGGCAGATCTGGTGTGTAATTTTCAATTCTTCACGTGAAATAAAACAGAGACATGTCAGACCTCCTCCGCCATGGCTCTGATGGGGAATAGAGTCCTCGCTCTGGTGCCCGTTACCTGTAGGTCAGGTCTGTGTGCTCCCATCGAGGGTTCCCCTCAGTGAGGACATAGGGAGCCACGTCGGGCACCCCACACCTGGCCTGCTGCATCACGTGCAGGGTCTCAGCATCTGGCCGCCCAGTCGCCTTCAGCCCAAAGAATTTCTGCATTTGCTTCAGCTTCTCAGCCACTAAACCGCTGTTTCTCTGCCTTCCAGATTTGTTGGTCCCAGTCTTCAAGTTGTAGTACTTTTGTAGGTATTTCTGATAAGGAGGCAAATATCGAAACACGAAACGTGAAACCTTTCTCATTTACTGCCTGAAAATCTTCAGGATTTCACTGTGGGGATAAAAAGTTCTTTTGTCTTGAAGATTTCGGGCAAAGAGGGGGGAAAAAAACCTGTCTGCATCTGTGATGATTTCATAGCCTTTATGAGGCTTACCAATAATTAATAACACTGTGAAGTCAGTGTTAAGGTAGTCAGGACTCTCTCTCTCTCTCTCTCTGTTTCCCTCTATCTTCCAAAGAAGTGTCTACAGATGTGTAAAGAGATGTTTCGTTTTGTTATGAGGGAACCTGTTTCCGAGAAAGTAGTTACCCCAGAATGAATCCCAGACTTGCTTGAGCTTCTAGACCTTGACCTTGGAAACGTGAGGACGGCGTGTGGGAATCAGCATTTACCTGGACCATCGTGGCATCTCGCCCTCGTGTTTCAGCAGGCGCTGTGAAGACGTGAACCCCCACGCCCCAGAGCAGCAGCAGCAGCAGGGGAAGGCTGGGCACGCTCACCTAGGTTGTCCTTCTTTGCTGAAGACCTCCGACGCCCCCCACCTCCTGCTGCTCCAGGGTGTTCGCCTTAGGGCTCCCCCTTTTGTAGGGTCCTTGCAGCCGCAGGAAAACAAAGGCTAGCTGATTCACATCTGCCCAGAAGAGCCGCATCCTCTTGATTTGCAACGGGTGGGCTCCACTTTCAAAAATCATGACTTCAAGGGGGGTAACCTTCCATCTTTCCTTTTGTCTTTACTATCTTGTGTTGCGATCAAACAGGACATCGACAGAGACACACTCCACACACACAGTTCTCTTATTGATTTCTTTGCAAGGACAGTTTGCAGTCACTCCCGCCGTGGCCCCTTCGGAGAGGACCCGCAAGTGTGGACTGGGCAAAGGAGCTGAAGCTCACAGGTTCAATTTTCTGCAAAAACACTTCCCTGGATGATGAGATTCAGTGTGTTTTACTATCCTTGGGAGGAATAATTTTTTAAGAGACGCCAGTGAGAGTGTGAGGGGCTGCTGAGTCGGTGTTTTAAGGGAAGGTCACTTCGCTTCCGCGCTGTCTCCATGCTTGATTCGTGTGCGGCCAGAAACGTCTCCTCGCGGGTGTGCCTTATGAAATAATCCGGAAGGTGTTCTGAGTTACGGCACACCCTTGAGGAGGGCGCCGCCCTCACACGAGCCGAGCCGACCTTCTCTGGCAGGTGCGGCTCTTCTGAAGAAGAGCCTCAGCGGGGACGAGCCAGGACCTCACCTGTCTGCCCCCGCGTGGAGGTTTGAGATGTATGGGGATGCCCGGGGCATCTCTGTGGGCTCTTAGTCATGCTGCAATCCAGACTATGACTTCCCTAATGTGTGTTGATTTCCTGCCTTCAGATCCCTTTTCTGTGAATCAGGTTCTGATTATGAAACAGATTATGTTCTGTTTTGCTGAATTTGCCTCAATTTGAACAGAGGAATTTTCACATGATGCATCGTTGTTTTATTTGTCTAGGTTACTCATGCCTCTGTCCTAATTTACGATGAGGCCAACTAGTTTGATCTATTGCTTTTCGTCAATTAGTCAACTCTTGGTCAAATGCGCACTGGATGAAAAGTACCACACGTAACGTCCACAGAGCTTCGTGCCTTTTACAACGTGAGCTTAACTTCGTCTTCACCACACTTCTATAGAGCACTTAGGGTGGATATCATTAGTTCCACCTGATAGATGAGGAGGCTAGCTCCTCACAAAAATTAAGGGGACAGGCCTGAGGTTGCAAAGCCACCACACGGCTGGGGAGGATCTGCGACCCAGGTCTTTCGAACACAAAACAGGCAACCAAGCTCTAAGTACATATCAGCGAACGATGCAGACATCTTGGCTTTTGAATGAGTTACTGAGAGAAGACAGATAGAAAGATAGTTGGATGGATAGATAGGTAGATAGATAGATAGATAGATAGATCATTATTAAATATTGATTCACAGGGCCTCCAACCAAACCATGATGTTAGATTATTTACTTTTATTGACACAGACCTAGAAGTATGCTTTGTATTCCATGACTAGTGAGAACTGACTGGTTTTACTTTTTTTCTCCCACACAGATGACTGAAAGGTCAAGTCTCTTTGGAGCACATTACATCAGCCTAAAGTTGAGTGTTTGGCCCAGAATTTGCTCAACGCATGAGGCTGGCAGGTAGTGTCTACGCTTTGAGGGAATCCATCTAGTGTACTCCTAATCGAGGCTCGTGATGTCAACAAGCCCACAGGAGCAAAGGCAGACCATAGAGCACAATATTCGAAAGTTGAAATGTCTCCCAAATCAGGGCACGTGGTTTCCCTCACGTGGGCGCCGCAGTCCTGCAGAGAGATCTCAGCAGTTCACCTGTTACTTCAGCTCATGCTGCGTTGCTTTTTATCAAGATCCTAGGCGATATCTGTCCAATGATGAGGGAGGACAATCCCTCCCCAAACACCTACAAGTGACAAGGAATTGGGACTTAGATGACCCTCCTCGGGGTGACACATACCTGAGATTTAGGGCCAGAATGAATGGATTTCTAAGTCAGTGTTCTTTCTGGTTTTCGTGGTTTGCTTCCTAGAGTGACAACCTGGGGTCTGAGGACGGTCACGCACGGGTGAGGGTGGAGGTGGCACTTGGATACCTTCCAAGCAGCACGTTTGATGAAGCCCAGCTGAGAGTCAGCGGGCTGGGGTTTGAATCCCAGCTCCATCCCTTGTAAACTGAGCACACGGACCATCTTCTTAACGTCTATGATGCTCAGTTATAAACAAGGAAATTATAATGCTTCTCCCTCCAGGTTATTAAAAGCGAGCTTATATTAATGAATCCTCCCTCAGTTGTACTGATGAAATTGTGATAATTATTATTTCCCTGGTAGATTTCCCCTATCATCACGAATTACAAAGGCGAAGTGTTGCTCACAAAGCATCTCTCTGACATCAAAAGAGAGAGTACAAACTAAAGTAGTGAAAACACAGGACAAGTTTGACACAACCCTTAAGTGATTGAGACCTTAAGTAGCTTCACTGAAAATCTGAATAATTTCATGATCATGGGTTCATGGGATGTTGGATGGAAGGCAGCCCTTTACAGGGAAAGGATTGATTTCACTTAACATCATCGTCTCTAGCTACATGCACATCGCTGCAGAGGGCAAGATGGCCAAGTAATATTCCACTGCGTATACACCGCATCTTCTTTATCCATTCATCAGTCGATGGACACTCAGGTTGCTTCCACAGTTTGGCTGTTGTTGATGGTGCTGCTGTAAACAGTAGGGTGCGTGTAACCCTACTTACTGCTTTTGTACTTTGGGGGTAAATAGCCAGTAGTGTAATTGCTGGATCACAGGGTATTTGTAGTTGTAACTTTTTGAGGAGCCTTCGTACTGTTTACCACGGTGGTTGCGCCAGTTTGCATTCCCATCAGTAGTGCACAACTGTACTCAAATAAAAATAAACTGGAAGGATTAAGATTTTGGTGAGAGGCAGAGAGGAGTGTGAGCCCTGACTGTCTTCTCTACTGGGCATGCAGAACGTGGCTGGCGGATTTTCCTGTGAAGCCTGCTTCCTTTGCAGGAGAACAGAGACAAGAATAATAATATCTCCCTAAAAGGTTTTCGGGAGAGTCCCGCTCACTAATGTGTGTGATGTGTATGCATCAGTTCTTGTCACACTGAGATACATTGCTCAGTGAGTACTGATGGTTTTTTTTTTTTTAGAATGGAAAGATATCTGTTAAAAAATAACCCAATTAAACCTCCTTACATGACAGAAGGGAAAACGGAGATCTGGAAGTGATTCAAGGGATGGGTGAGATCGTCCGAGGTGGATTTCAGCCCCTTAAAGGAGGTGTGACCCTGAAACAAATTGTTTCTGCAGCGAGACAAAACAAAGACAAAATACTTTCAGCTGTATCCACATTATAGACTCTGCATTGAATCATCTCCTTTAGGACTTTGGGAGCCTCGCCCAAGAAACAGCCGTGTGGTCACGTGTTCCTTCATCATCACCATCATCACCACAAGTGGAATGCGATACTAGGAATACTTTCCAAAATAACATGCTTCCAAGAGAGATAAACTGTGCCTTGAGTCACGTATCTTACATAAGCAAGCCTGTGGTTTAGCTAATGACAGCGCAATGCCGCCCCTCGAATCTTTTCAGGAAAGCTTACTGATACAATCATTTACAAATCAGGTTCAGGTATCAACTGATCTATCTCTTATCAAGTCCAGACTCCAGGGAAGACTCTCCCCCAGACAGCTGTGTGCTCTACTGACTTTTCAGGGATCGAGTTTGCACGAATCCTTAAGTATCTGCGTGGCAGATAAACAAGGGCCTTCAGTTTTTAGCATTCCAGCCTCCACCCCAGCCTTTGAGAGATCGGGTCTGTGTCCTTGATCTTGAATCCGGATGAATTCCGTGGTGGCTTTGGCCATCAGAATAACACAGAAATGGTGCAGTGCCGTAAGAGATTGGTAGCCTTTGGTTTTTGTCTGAGAACACTTGCTTTTGGAGCCCTGAGCGTCCGTGTACAAGATGTGTCTTTGCTGAGGTCACATGCCCTGAGGGAGCCCAACCCAGCCAGAGAGGCTGCAGGCATGGGATCTGGTAACTTCCGCCCTTCCAGGCAGGCACCGGACAAGCGATGGAAGACGCGTGCAGTGACCCCAGCCCGAGTAATCATCTGAGTAGAACCACGTATGAGCCTGAGCAAGAAGTAGGGAGCTGCAAGTCAACCCACACAACCGTGAGGGATCGTCATTTTAAGCTCCTAAGGTTTAGAGTGTATTTATTTTTTATTATTATTTTTAATGTTTATTTATTTTTGAGAGAGAGAGGGAGAGACAGAGCATGAGCAGGGGAGGGGCAGAGAGAGAAGGAGACACAGAATTGGAAGCAGGCTCCAGGCTCTGAGCTGTCAGCACAGAGCCCGACGCGGGGCTCGAACCCACGAGCCTTCGCGCTGTGAGATCATGACCTGAGCCGAAGTCGGCTGCCCAACTGACTGAGCCACCCAGGCTAGAGTGTGTTTATTTGTACACAACAACAAATAACCAGATGATCTCCCTTGATCACGTCTTTCAGAGGACAGGCCATTCCTTCCCCTCCACACTTACCAAAATAGTGTGTGTGCACTGGGGGATTGAAGAAATGGAATAGGCTGTGCATCCTAGCTGAGCACCTTCTTTTTCAGCTTAAGTTTTGCTTGTTTAAAAAAATGGGTTTGATGCTGTGATTAAATGATTATTGAATGAACAAATGAATGAGTGTGGTAAATGAATCCTAGAAAACAAAAGGTAAAGCCAGACGTGAACTCTGTGGAAACTTTTAACTCAATTGATTCATATATTGAATAAAATCCCAGGCTCTTAATTGTAAGTTGACAAGTTGAATGCTTCAAACATTTATCTCCACAA